CAGCTCCTCCTCCCCCAAACAGCTCCCATAAAACAGTGGGAACGCCAGACTCATTAAGGAAAATGAGCGGCTTTTGTTCCCGGTCCCGGCACAGGTTCCCCATTTTATGCGCTGGAAGGTCCTAATGGCTTAATGGCACTTCCCCAGGAAGCAATTCTGCCCCGGAGCAGGGCTGGGAACCCGCTGGGACGGGATGGGAGCAGGGCTGGGATGCAGCTGGAACGGCCCCAGGACGCCCCCTCCTGCCCAGGAGCTCCCGAGCCCGGAGAATCCGGGCTTCTCTCAGGGGTGGGAGAGCTGAAAGCTCCTCTCCTGCCATGGGCAGCAACACTTCCCACCTGCCCTGGCAGCAACGAGTCCTGACCAATTCCAGGGATGGGGCTCCTCTGGGGAATCCATTCCAGGGCCTCCTCACCCTCACAGGGAGGAATTTCGTCCCAATATGCCACTTAATTCTCTCCTTTCCCCAGTGGGAAGCCATTCCAAAGGATCAAAACCCACAGAATCTTAACCCCAGGAACCTTCACCCACACATTCTCCAACCCCACAGAATCTTTCACCCCAAGGATGGAATCCCACGGAATCTCCAGTCTCAGGAAATCTCCCACCCCCAGGAACCTCCAATCCAATCCTCCCCCGCCCCGTTTCCCACCCCCAGGCAACCCCCCCAGGACCCCCAGTCCTGCTCCAACACGTGGGATCCACTCCCTCCTTCCATCCTACCCCCCTCCCGGGGGATGGATGATCCCGTGATCCCCTGTGCTCCCGGATTTTCCAGGCAGATCCCAATCCCCATATTTACACATCGGGGGATTTCACCGGAGCCTCTTCCACCTTCACGGGCGGCTCCGCCGGCTTCGGCTCTTCCTCCTGGGAACCAACGTGGAGAGTCCGTAAGAAACATCCCAGTCACCTTTTCTGGGGGGTTTCCAAGGCACAAACCCCTGTTCAGCCCAAACATTCCCAGGAATTCACGAGTTCTGTGTCCAGTGGCCCCTCAGGCTTCGCTACAGGGGGGGTTGGAAACTCTCCCTGTGCTTTTCCAAAGCCCCATAATCCCTTCCCAAAAGGTCTGGGCTGCACAAGGGGCTGGGGATGACCTGAGGGTGACATTCCCAGCCCAGCACGGAGTGGGGATGGCCAGGAGAGTGGGAATGACCAGGAGCGGCTCCAGCAGCACCCAACCTGCTTCTCACCAAATATTTCATGGGTAAACAGGGAAAAACCCTCCTTATCCTGCACTTGATGAGCAGGAAGGAGCCTGACAGTGGAAAGAGTCACTCCCTGAGAGTGTTTTAGGCTGGATTTTTTTTCAGGCTGGACTTCCTGGCCCTGGCAGGAACAGGGCTCAATCCCACGGGATCCATGGGCACCAACTAGGAGACTCTTCCCTAAATATCCTTAAACCCCCCAGGTGTGAATCCTGCTGGGCATGGAGGGAACAACCCTGTTCCGAGGGATCCCAAAAACTGGGATCTCATTAGTGATGGGATCCCCCATCCCACCCTCTGGAGAATCCCAGTTGGCAAACCAGGACCCCCTGGGATCATCCCAACCAAAAACACAACCCACCTCTATCTCCTCTCCCAGCACGTCCTCCTCATTGGCTTCTTCTTCAGCTGGAGGACAAAACAACGGAGCCATTGGAGCAGCAAAACACCCCAAGGAACCTCTGGATTCCCAGAGAACACAGGAATCCAGGTGGGAATTCCGGGGGATTCGGGAAGGGCCCGCAGCACCCACCATGCTCCTCCAGGTAGGCCTGGAGCCGGTTGATGAGGTCCTGCTTGTTGCCTTTGGCCTCCAGCCCTCTGGCCAGGCATTCCTGCTTCAGCTCTGCCAGCTGCGGTGGGAAAAGCTTCCGTCAGTTGGGAAGTACAAGGATTGAATGCAGGCATCAAAGGGGAATTGAAGGATGGAAAGGAACTGGGATGATTTGCTCCAGGGGGAATGTCCCAGGGGAACGTCCCCGGGACCCTCCCAGGGAATCCCTTTGGGACCTTCCTGGGGACCCTCCCGGGAGAATCCATTGGGGGAACCAACCAAGGGAACCCCCGGGGACCCTCCTGGGGGACCCTCCCGGGAGCCATCGCTGGGTCCCTCCTGGAGGAACCTCCCAGAGGAATCAACCGGGGGAACTTCTTGGGGACCCTCATAGGGGACCCTCCCAGGGGAACCTCCTGAAAAACCCACTGGGGGAACCTCCCTAGGACTCCTTTGGGGAAACCAACTGGGGAACTCTCCCCAGGACCCCTCCCCAGTAATCCCCGCCCCAGGTACCCCGTCCCCGGTATTCCCCCCCGGGCCTCTCCCACGCGGCTTCGCACCCACGCGGGGCCTCAGGGAGCCCCGACTTCAGGGGTCCCGGCCCTCGGAGGGGTCTCATCCCCGGGGGAGGGGGTCTGGCCGGCCCCCCCGCGGCGGCCGCGGGCGCTGCCCCCCCGGTTCCTCCTCTCAGCCCGCCCCAGTCGCGGTCCCCGCGGCACCTTCAGCTTGTGCAGCTCCACCGGCTCCGCCGCCATCTTGTCACCGACGCGCCGGGCCCGCCCCCGCCGGCCAATCAGCGCCAAACGCGCCCGAAGGACCCGGCAAAAGCACCGCCCGCCATTGGTCAGTTCCGCCCGGCGCCGCCCTCGAGGTATTGGTCGGTGGTGTTGAGTGACGTGGAGACGGACCAATGGGAGCGCGTCATTGCCGGAAGTTCGGTATTGTTATTAATTATTCGTTATTAATTTGTTAATTATGGGATCATTGACCATCAACATCCCTGGCCCTCACACTCTCTCCCTTCCCCCACGTATCTGCCAGTCCAGCACCTAAATGACCATTAAATTGGCCCCTGGATTATTGGGGGTCGTGTGAGTCCCAAAACAGCTCCTGGTTCCTTGGGGGGCTGGCTGAGCTTTTT